GAGATGGAAGTGAATAAAATCATCAGGTGGACACAGTCCGTATTCATCACTCGTGCTACTGACGAAAAATGACGAAGGTACCTATCGATATTGCATTGATTGCAGAGAACTGAACAGAGTGAGAGTGAAGGATGCGTTTCCGATGCTCCAGACGGAAGAAATTTGCTCCAGCATTCACAGCGCCAAGAGGATGTCCTTTGTAAACCTCAAATCGGAATATTGGCAGCTGCCCATCGCAGAGGAACATCGCCACAATACGGCCTTCGGTGTGAATGGACAGTGATGTATCGGAGCCCCACGATTGCGTCCACCTACTAACGGTAGTGAGAATACCAACGACCGGGCTACAAACAATGTTCACGTAGCACGCCAAACTGGCAACAAAGCGTTTGTCTGGGCAACTCAATCACGATATTCAAATTAGGGCACATCACAAGCTATGCGGAAAGACTGGCATTCGATCAGTCAACGCTGGTCAGTTCAAAAAGCGGCGCATCGATAAGTTGCCTCAGGAACGAACGAAATACGCAACGTAAGAGAAAAGCTAATAAGCGTAAGATTCAGTGTCCATACCAGCTAATCACAAATGTGAGGCAAAAGTGAACGTATGTGAGGAATCGGAAAAGAGGGCAGGGTGAGTAGGGGTGAGTGGGGCAAAACTCACAAAACAACGGGGAGCGGTGAAGTACTCTAACCTCCGATATAACAGCAGTACGAGTTGCTAAGAATGCCGTTTGGATTACGTAACGCTCCAGCTACATTCGGACGCCTATTGCTGTTGGTCTTGGAGGACCTACAAGGCGTGGTTGTCTACGGGGATGACATCATTATCTTCTCCGAGACAGGGCACAAACATGGTATCAGGCTGGCAGCAGTACTACAAAGACTGGAAGAAACCGGTCTGAAACACAGTCGCAAGAAGTCACAAATTACTCGGGAGTCAATTGTATGTCTGGACCATATTGTAGGCAATGGTCAAGTCCATCCGCTTCCGAAGAAACGTGAAACGATCAAAAGTTCTGGAGTGCCAAAATCCAAGCGTCAGCTCCGTTCGTTCCTGGCAGTGGTGACTTACGACTCGAAGTTTGTGTCCCATTTTGCAGAGTGGACCAGCCCTTTGTTTAAGCTGCTTCACAAAAACGAACTGTTTGTGTGGACAGCCGAAACGGATCATGCCTTTAACCACCTAAAGGTAGACATAGCAGAAGCTGCAACATGCCTACAGTTACCCAATCTAGATGAGAGATTCAATGTGGTAGACGACGCAAGCAACGTGACAATCGGTTCGGTATTGTCCTAACCAGCTGATGTGGTGGAATATGCGAGTAGAGTGCTAACAGTGGCGGGGCAGAAGTAATCCACAATGGAGAAAGAATGTCTGGCTATCGCGTGGACCTTGGATAAATGGAGAACTTACCTCCTAGCGACTGAATTCCGCGCCGTCACTGACCATTAGCTGCTTTCATGGTTGATGACAGCAAAAGACAAACGGGGACGCCTCGCGCGGTGAACATACCGACTGCAATAACTTCACCATCGAGTACGTAGACAGAAGACAAGACATACTACCCGATATGTTGTCACGCCCGTCGTTGGACAACATCATGCCGGACAACGCTATACCGGTGCGCGCGGTCACAATGGAGGAGAAAAATCTGCTGGGTGATCAAAGGACGGATGAATTCGTGGAGGTATTGTGCTCTCACTTACGGGCTAGCACCAAGCCGGAGGCCACATCAAGAGAGGTAGAGGAACTCCTTAGGATCTGGGACAGACTGGGGGTCGAAAACCATAATGTGGTAGTTGCGACAAACGGAAGGCAACTGCTTTTTCTTCCACCGAATCTGCAATAGCGGGTGATGCGATTAACTCATGATGGGGCCCATATGGGATTCGAGTGTTTGCATTGCCACGGAGGAGTGTTTTGGCCTACCATGAGGAGGGATGTTGCAGCATACATCCGGAGATGCCCGAATTGCCAAACGAGTTGCGAGATGGATACACCGAGACCACTTATGCGATCTACAGAAGTCAATGAGCCACTTCAGTGTTAAGGACTGGATGTTTTTCAGCCCTTACCAGTGAGTCGATCAGGAAATAGATACATTCTAGTGATGATCGACCAATGCACTCGCTGGGTGGAAGCCATACCAATCAAGGATCAGACAGGCGAGACCGTGTCGCAGGCATTTGGATTCAATGTGCCAGCAACATATGAAATACTACAATGTGTTCTCACCGACAAAGGGCCCTGCTTCAAGTCGAAAACATTTAAGGCGATTTAGGATAAGTGGGGCATCCAGAGGCAACGCGCTTCACCGTACCACTCGCTGGCCAACGTAATGACAGAGCGGTTCAACCGAACCATGAATAAGTGGATAAACTGCAGGAAGTTGGCACGGGAAGAAGCATTACCCGTAATTCTGCTTGCGTACCGGACCAGCATGCAGTCGACCACCAAGGCTTCGCCATTCGAAATACAATTTGGCCGAGAACCACGGATTACGCTCGCTACGTGCTTAGCAAAACCGAGTGAAGGGGAACATCCGACGCAGTATCACGTACGACTGCAAGCGACGGCTAGAAAAGGAACCAAAGTCCGACAAGAACGCAATAAGAGGAACTACGACGCCACGTATAAGGCTCACAAGTAGACGCCGTTCAGGATTGGTGAACAAGACAAGGCACGGAACAACACTCGGCCAAATAATGAAGGGCCAGGTACGAGCAAGTTCAGTGAACGCTGGAAAGGCCCGTACACCGTGATCGATCAGAAAGGAGCAACCTTCCAAATCGACAGCGGAGGAACGAAGCGCTGGGTGAAGGCCGCCCTTCTGCGACCATGGTATGAGAGGGAAGAGCAACTTCGAGAAGAGGCGGGTATAGGGCGGCGGAAGAAAGTGATTAGTCGTGAACGGGAACAACAACAAAAACGGGATTGTAGAGAATTAACAGCGGGCGCAATGGATGAGACGAGACAAGGCGCTGCGAGCGTTGCGGATCGAGCCGACAGTGAATCACGAGCGGCATCTGGTAACGAGCCTCGGTCCACAACAATGGAGGAGGTATCCGTCAGACAAATATGCCGCCAGCGAAGCCCACAGGAGTGGACGCAGGTCAAGTGATGCAGCCGAGGGAGAGCAAATCGCGAGTTTTCGAACGAGTCATGGCCGGCCAGAATTGGATGTAGCGAAGCGGAGATACAGGATGAAAAGATGGAGGGGTTGTCTCGAAGCTCAACCTCAGAGGCACCCGAAATGGCCCGTAACACGAATTCTCCTCCGCGTTGCGCCGTAGGAAGGAAACACGGTCCAAATCTATATAGGTTTTCGAGTTGTCAGTGGCACGTTTTTGTGGCAATATGCGAGCTGCTACCCCCCCGCGTTGTTTTCGCGACAAAAGGACACATCATTACACAAACTCCATCTGCTACTGAGACGACGAGAAAACAGTTATGGAGCACAGTTTAGTTATCCGCTAGTGACAGGTATTATCCGGGTTAAAGGACGCATTGCTCGATAATTTGTGTCAGTAAACCAACCATAAGAAAAGCAGTGGATAATCCGCGCGTCATAAGCGTTCTAAAGGAACATAATTTGAATGGCCAATCATTGCCGCCATGTGAAATGCGAGCCTTTGCATAGTATTTCGTAAAGTAGATAGGTGCTCAGAATAGAACAAATAGTGTTACTTTTGCATTCGGCGAAATCCAGTAAAGCTGCCGGTAAGCAACGGAAGTAAGGCCAAACCAATTGGGTTTCAACAAGGTGAGGGCTCATCATTTCCTGAAAACTAAGCTTCGATTCAGTCACGGACTTAAAAGTAAAATCATTTATTGTGCCAACCTGTTGGGCACCGTCGCTTTTTCCGTAAGCTATCAATATTCGTAACATCAAAAATTTTCGAATAAGTTGGTATATCGCTGAGAGTGTTCGTGTGCTCAAAAGAAAAGCATCTAAGCGGTAGACGACGATCTTTGCAGAACTACAATAAGGTAGCTAGAAGAGAGATTAAAGAACTTACATTATGCTCTCGTCCTAGCTTACAGCTACTAACGTATCCGTCAAGGTCTAATTCATAACGTCTTCAACTGTGGGCCGCATAAAGAATACTGAGATGCGGAGGGGGGCTGTGAGCAGACGGAAAAACGCTAAGTAACAGAGCCGAACAGCTCGCTCCAATCGTATCAAGCGCCTAAAAAGTGGACGAACTGTTAGGCGACTCATACGGTGAGTAAATAGCGATTCCGCGTTTTGGGAGAGAAGCACCTCTGCTAACGAGCAGACGGGATCTGTACACAAACTTAAAGCAAACGGAACGCGGTGGTACGTTGCTAATTGCGCTACTCACTTGAAAAATCTATTGGAACACAAACTGATTATGGACAATGGACTGAAATTAAAGTCCCTAGTGGAGAAGTCTAAACTTTATTTCAACAAACGTCCTGTCTGAAATAGTTGATTGCGTCGATCAAAGGGAAACGCATAGTAATCGAACACAGGTAGCATCAGCAGTTCAATTTGGCGCAACACAAGAGTTTATATTGTGCGAGCTATCTTTCAAGATGCTACAACCGGTCGAAGCCTTCTGATTGATCTGCATATCTGCCAATATTGAGCGTCGATGTCAGGTGTCCGTAGCAAAATGAGCCGGTTCAAATAACACTTACCTACGGAGAGATTATATGCGAAATCACCAAAAGCGTCGATTCTCGGAGAATGGAGGAGGAGCCAGAAGCAGTTGTCTGCTCCAGCATCTCACGTACAGGAGAGTGATCCCATGTGTGACACATGCGTGAAGTGGTATGCATGGTGGATGTATCAATAAAGTACCGATTCAGTCCGTTTAGAAGACGTGAACACGCACACTTCTGTTTACTATACCAGTATGCATCCAGTGGTGATTTAGGTAACTACTAATAAGAAAATGTGTGGTGTGCTGATCGATCCATCGCGTGTGGTGGCGAAAAGGGCGAGATGAGCGGAGACGGAAAAACATCGGACTACTGGAAAGCGTAATTAGTCAGGAATTGGTACCACATGGAGGTGTTGATGCCCAAGGCACATAGAGTAAATTGGTTGCCAATTTCAATAGGAAATCCAAGGCGGTCGCATAAAACAAGGACGAAGAGGCTGTTTACAACGAATAAAAAGTGAGTTCGATAACAGGGAAAAATACAGAATCTGGTGAAATGCACGTGGTAGAAAATGCTTAGAAACACATCAAGCGTGGATAGAGGCCTCGGAAAAAGTGAGGCTTCGGTTCATCATCCAGGTAGTCTATTTGATGCGGTAGAGAATGCGACGCTGCATGCGATATTGAATTTCACCTCGGCGTAGCATATAGTGCAGTACCTTCATGACAGCACGTTCAGAGAAGCCCTAGAGTGAGAGAGAAAGAAACGAGTGACCGAAGGCGTATATGCGCCTGACATGGTAGCGTCGGTGTGAAAGGCAAGCTAGAGCAGCGATGGAAACTGCTTACTTGTCTCGTAAAGTCTTGCAGGATGGCGTGCTCCGACACCTGACTGCCGATGATAAACCGACGCTTCAGTTGCTTTTCCACGCGCAAAATGAGATCGTGTTCCTCCTGACTGGTGAATCCTTCAGCTCCTTCAAGACTACCGGACATAGCCGCCTCAAGAGTGGATACGTGGAACAGACGCAAAGCCTCCTCCACATCCGCCTCCGTGGCAAATGGAGCGAGACGCATCTTCGCCTGCGCCTCTGCGATGCGGACGATTGCCTCCAGTTGCCTGCATATAGCAAATGTACGAAGTAAAATGGAAGCGTATGCACCTATCACAAGACTACTGTGTTTTGATGTCCAGGCTGTGTACTGCAGTGGCTCAGGCGTTATGTCGCACGGTGACATTGGGAAGAGAAAGTGAAAGATACCCAAGTAAAAGGGAATGAGACAAATAATACGACTGTGTTTTGGGAGGAGGAGAGAATAAACATGCTTGAGGATCGACCATAGGAAGAACCAAATTGAAGCCCAGTGGAATCCAGAGTCTTGCATAATGTGGACTTCGAATCAGGAGCAACAAATACAGTCAATACTAAGCGAGAAAAGTGCCCGGAGATGTTAAGGAATTCCTTCGCAACGGCAAATGAGATGACTAAGAAAAGAAATGCACGATTGATTTCATCGAAATATCTTGCAAATCGTTAAGCTGTTGCCAGTAGATCTAACCTATGAAGTGCACACCAATGCTAACGCATGAAAAACCAAAAGATGGCAACAGTGTCAGTCATTCCAGCGTGAATACAAACGCGAGTGTTGGGGCATAATGTATCGTCTATCACAAAGCATCTCAACGACGACTGGCCATCACGTGGACCCATCTAAAGCATGCAAAGTACTATTTATTAACCGCAACTCGGAGAACCTAGTGAGCAGTGAAGCGCTACCGACTGCAGTGAACCGGCCGGCGTTGTGCGCGCAAAAGGAACTGAGGCAATTTATCAGATTGTCGTGGTCCTGATAATTCAGTTTCAATTTAAGCACATATCCGGATGATCTAATCCAACCCAAGGAGGTGGATCATCTAATACGAAGATTTAAGTTCTCTCCTTCTTACGACTGATCGAAAACAATCACAAATACGGCGTCACATTCACAACATTAAGCATCAACCACACTCGTTCTTGCCTACATGCATTCATACACATTTAAGACATGGATCCATTTGTTAGTTATAAACTTGTGCCGCTTTTACACTTATCAGTCCTTGTTGTTCCGCCATGATCATGCTTATGCAGACGTGTTTCGCATTGTCGAAAGTAAAACATCTATTTATGTGAGTAATTTCGTTCCACTAGTAAATAGGTTATTCCTCAAATGTGCTGTGTTTGCGACTGAGGAGAGTAGTCGAAATGTTAACATACTGCAATTTATGTCTTCAGTTTGCGCTGACTAAATGGGTAAAGAGGAAACAGTATTTCAAATATCGTGTTTTCGTAAGGGTGAAAAATCCGGTAAACACAAGACGATAATGCAGGTTGGACGGACGCCCAGGATATTCAATCAGTCCCAGGAGAAGTAATGGAGGACAACAGTGATAATTTAGCCACACGATATGCATTACAGAAAAGTTGTACTGTGAGGCATAGGTTAAACACACGCTGACCACCAGAAATATTCCAGATGAACATGAAGCATCAGGATGACCGCATTGCACAAAATCAAAGAACCATCGTTTACATTAATTGGCGATCCACTGAAGTGGACAGTTCAATGGGAGCAAATCGAATCCTAAGCTTAAGCGTAAAGCGAATAAAGAACGCGGAAGTGAAGGTAAGGGAGGAGACTCACCGAACAGTGATGGGGATTGCACTCCGCTTGCCTGTCTCTTGTTCATGACGCACGGAACCAGAACGCATCAAAACGTATTGGTTCGCTAGTTTATCAGCGGCATGCTCGGACAATCGAGGACCGCATCGTTCCCGAGCATATGCGATGAATCGCCTCAAAGTGCTCAGTGGTATTTCATCTGATTCTTCACCTTGTTCTGTGGTAGTTGCAGCGGGATCGCTAAAGTAATAAGTCAGTGGGGAATGGTCAGTAAAGTGATCAGGAAAACCCACGCCAATCAGAATTACTCAGTGGTGGAATCGCAGGTTCCAAAATATGCTGACCGTAGGGCAATAAGACCTCGATCAAACGGACGGAAATGGACTTCGCCAAATGCAAAACTGCAGTAATAGGAAAACCGTTGAGAAGAATAAAGTATCAAGGGCAGTGAAAATTGCAAGCACTGAATGTAAAAAGCATGAAGCCTTTAGCTGAGAACAATAGGATTAGCAGTGGACAAGACATATATCAGTAAGAGTCGGGAACGAGAGTCAGAACAGCTACTGATAAAGTTGGAAGGACCGAACACCTACGGGGTTCATTCGGTGATAATCGCGATCAGTTCCAGCAACTGCGCACCGAAAATAGTCAAGCAGCTCAACAGTACAATAATTCGTATAAACCTCACCATCAAGCGATACACTGCTTTGGAACAGATTCATCAGTCACTATTAAATCCATAGTTGTTTACGTAAGCACAGGATAGCCACATAACGAGGGGTGCGTGCCCAGAATGTGGCAATGCCGTAACGCAGCAAAAGTGCCCAAACTAGCGGGATCAGCAGGGTGCCAAATGAACTCAAACATCAGCAAATGACACCATCAATCCGAGCAAGATCGGCAGCTATTACTCATGAATAAGGCGAATGAACCAAATCTTGAGCGGACTCGCCATAAAGAAGCCATTTCATTTAACCAGCAGAGTCTGAATGGTCAAATCAGTACTGAGCGCTGTTAGTAAAGCAACCAGACGGCATATGAGAAGGCGAGTCAGGAATCGTCGACAGTTGGTGGATGGCGCAAGCCAGTACCATCGTAAACAGCGGGGTACCGTTTCAACCCAGGCACAACACGAACCAAAGTGGAGCATCAGTGTGCGAAAGAATGGTTAATAAAGACGGCTTGGAGATGCATTCCCGGAAGCATCAAATAGTATGACACACACATACACACACACACACTGAGGAGAGAAGTCCAACAGAATCGGCTGCTTACGTCCTGGCCATAAATGTTTCATCCTACTTTAGATGTCGATCTAAAATTATCTATACCGCAAGTATGATTAGACACGAACGGCGGAGAAGGAAATTTTACAAGCGACTCGGGGCTACGCTGTTGATACAATGTTTTCAAAGCTGGGAATCAAAAATGGCCATTGCCGTGTTCGCATTAACATCATTTTTACGCCAGCAACGGTGGAAATACCTATTTTGCAAGAAGAGCTCCTTGCATGTTTTTGCTAAACTATTTCCATGCGTACTTAATCCACTTTATTTCCTCGATTGTTTGAAAAGGTATCCAGAGACTGCGTAAATTTTCAATTTGTAACTGTTGGCAAAATAAGATCAAGTATGAAGAAATACTTTATTTAAAGGTGGCCTAGTTGAACGGATAAAAATCCAGATTACTCTTCATAGCAATACGCAATCCTTGTTGAAACATGCGCGACTATTTTCTCGAGTGATACCTGTGCAGCACTATTTGAGAAATTCTGCATATTTAATGATGCATTTTAAGCTCACCTATAGTGTATAGTGCAAAAATATTGACAATACCACAGACACATAAAGCTTGACTTAACCAGTGTTCCTATCCTTATTACCGGTAAAGAAACGTGTGTGGAAATCAGCGGTGAATCAGTCCTTTGCATATACATATACAACACTACTCAACTCGAGTGCTTCGCAAAGAAGATTTTGCACTGAATATACCGAAGGCTAGAACGAACGTCCGCACTAATTTCTTCCTGGTCAGGTATAGCTATCCACCAATACTACTAATAACACTCAGGGCATGTGACAGTATGGCAACATTTAGTAGTAGACTCTCCAATTACCTTAATCTAACTACCCTAAGCTCAATATTCACATGGGAAATATCCCTCGATAAGCTAGTCCAAGAGGGGCCCAAAAACATAAAAACACCAATCTTTTCATAACTAGGATTTTGCCTCAAACATCCGCCAGAATGTGAATACATGAAACGCATATCTCAAAACTCCACCTAAGCAAGAGCATGGGTTCCTCTGTACAAATTGATCTGTGCCCCTATAGACACAGTTTCTCTCATCAAGAGAAAAATACGTCCGATATATATATATATATATATATATATATATATATATATATATATATAGTTGGCGGCATCCAGTTTCAGATTTGCCTGTCACTGTGGCCAGCCACAGGACGCCTGCGCCTACAGAGGGACCATGGATGGCTTGCGCTGCACCACCCACAGCTCCATCCACATACCCCATATCTAGTGTAAATCCGAAGGAACAAGACCGGGAGGCATGTGGATGGGAACCACGTTTCAATAACGGAGCAGGCCCACACTCCTTCATGGGCAAACACAAGTACGCTGTATTGGGGAATCAATCGTACACAAGGCAGTGGCTGGACCGTAATTCGCTCCACACTGAGTGCATGGAACCACTCTTTGATGCTGACAGGGCCACAAGGACCGTGCACCTCGTCCTCTCCAGCAACGACCAACTGTCTCCTAGAGCCAGTATGTACAAGGTAGTGGGTAATAGACAGGTAAGCACCTTGTCATCATGCACATCAAGTGCAGCCACAACGGGAATATCAAGCAACAGCCAATCATTTGAAACGATACGATGTAAGAAAATAAATCAGGTAATGCATACAGATACTGAGACAACTTTTCACTAAATGAGCGTACAAATAAATGAACATGAATGGATCGGCGTTAAGTTCAAGAGATCAAAAAACATATTTTGAGGAAATGCCACAAACGCAAAAATGTTATCGAAATTAACTTCAATTGGCTTCAGCAACGTGTGCAAGTTTATAGAAGAGAGTACAGGTAGACAATAATATGACAAAGAAAATCATTAGGACAAAATTCAAAACAAACCTTCTAAAATAAAGAGACTTAGCATGCAACCACACGGTTAGTAAATCGAATGTAGCGTACCTACAAACGCTGCACCGGTCCTGCCTACCTTCTCTTTACGAGCCATCGTCGCTTCAGTGGTGGTCCCGATTGGCCTCGCTCATGGCTCACTACGTCTGCTTGACTCAGACACTCGCGAGCGCATGTGCCACAGCACCATGCGCTCGATGTCGATGGAGTACAACCCATCGGCGCTTGCCGCTTCCGCACTGGCCGCGTCTCCTCTGCATGTATGAGGTCTTTCTCCCGCACTTCGGCAACTGCCTTCGTGATCAGATCGCGCCATGCACGCCGATCAACTGCTTTCGATCCCCATGAACTGCAATCAAGATTAGAACGTGAGAAGCTCACTTTGATCATGTACTGGTAACGTAACTTTGGTTTCCCCACAAGCCGCTTCCCAATACTCAGCTGACCCTATAATAGTTGTTTCGGTATCCGCATCGAATCCATACGCCACACATGACCGAGCCACCTCAGATGTCCCAGCAAAAAGTATGCAGTCCACTGCATACATTCTACTTCGGCGCAACACTTCCGTGTCGGCAACAATGTCGCCCCATCCGATGCGCAGAATCCGTCGTAAACACTGTTCATGGAAACGCTCAAGACATCGCACATCCCGCCAGCACATCGTTCATGTTTCACTGCCGTATAGAAGAAGCGACAGCACCATGGATTTGTACACCATCAGCTTCGTGCCAATAGTAAGCAGATGGTTATTCCTCACCCGGTACTATAGATTCCCCAATGCCGCCGCTGCATTTGACAAGCGGTTAGCAGTCCACTGTGTAGCTACTGATCAGTCAACATCACACTCCCAAGGTAGCAGAAGCGGAAGGTGGCTTCCAATACATCACCAATGCCGATTCGCGGCCATTTTGAAGATTGCACCTCCGGTGAAGGCTGAAAGAGACAGACAGTTCTGTTTGCGTTGACGGTGAGCCCGAATTTTGCCGCCGCAGCAGCCAGAGCACTAGTTAAGCGCTGCAACTCAAAGCGCTGCGTAAAAAACAACGCACAGTCGGCAACAAACAGCGAAAAACGGAAAGTTGTCTCACAGACTAGGGTTCTCGCAACGAAACGAAAGATATTCAGCAACCCACCATCAATACGATGATCCACATGAGCACGGCAAACACAAGCGGGATAAAAAGCACAAAACATCATCGCATAAAGATGCATTTAACATGACCGGAGTTAACACAGCCTTGCTTCACACCAGTGACAACCGCAATGTCATCCGAAGTCTCTCCACTCAGCTGCACCCTCGCTCGCATACCACTGTGCAGACATTCAATTAAACTTACAAACTTACTCGGACAACCAAACTTACCCAACACCAGCCACAATGCCGCGCGGTTCACCATTTCAAACGCCTTGGTGAAATCAACAAAAAGCGAGTACAAAGGCTGGTCTCTCTGTCTTCCATTCTCCTGCCACTGACGAACGGCAAACACCATATCGATGGTGTTGCGACCCGAACGGAATCCACATTGCTCTTCCACCACATTCGGTCCCAAAACCTGAGTGACGAGGCGGCTGAGCAGGATTCAATCAATCGCCCTGCCCACACAACTCAGCAAGATGATACCACAATACTTCATGACACATTGCTTGTTTCCTTTCCCCAAATAAAGCACAAGGGCATCATTCAGCTCAAGAGGCACCTCCTCCTCAATCCCACGCGTTGCACCAAGTGGTGCAGCGTAGTCACCAACGCAGGTCCGCCATGTTTTAATACTTCAGGCGGGATCTCGTCGCACCGGCAAACTTGCCGTTTCGCAGCTGAGCAAGTGCTCCCTGCATCTCATCCAGTGTCGGCATGTCTGCCAGACTCGCTTTCACATGGTAACGCTTGAGGCCGTTCAATACAGGCCAGTCGATCTCAGAACGGTAATTCAAGAGACAGTCAAAGTGTTTCCGCCAGATCTGCATTGTGCAGTCCATGTACAGGTAGCGCCTGAACTATCACCGATCAGCATCTTCAGCGGCTCCAACCTCGGTAAATACACCGCCTTCAAGGAGTCAAAAGATTCCTT